TGTATATGTATGTATGTATATATGTATGTATATGTATGTATGTATATGTATATATGTATGTATGTATATATGTATGTATATGTATATGTGTATATGTATATATGTATATGTATATATGTATATGTGTATATATGTATATGTATATATATGTATGTATATATATGTATGTATATGTAATACAATACATAGTGTTTGAGCTGGTGGAAATGCTCCAGTTAAAATTCTGAATTCATCATTTTGAAAGACTACAACAGCTGAAACCACCAGTCTAATTTTGACTTCTGTGAGATCACACAGTATTTATTTGTTAATGCATTATTTACGAGGCAATTTGTTTATAGAATCAGAATCAGGTTTGTTGCCAAGTAGATTATTCACTTACAAGGATTCTACATCGGTGTTTGCTGCATAAAATAAACAGGAAGAGGAAATAAAAATGCAGACAAAGTTCTGCAAAAGTCTAGAACACAAAGAAGAGAAAAATGATATTAAAACAACGAAGAAACATTTTAACTATACAAATCTGAAAAAGAAACAATAAAAATATGACAGAAAAACAAAATACTATGACATATATGTACAATATAAGAATATACAGTACACATAATGTACTGTATTCACTGCATTGTGTGTGGTCCTCCTCCTCACTAACAGAACTACTAATGAAGCTACATGTTGGTGTTTATCACAGATGAATATAAGGAGAGCGAGGAGCATTGTGTATCTGAATACGAGGCAGAGCGACAGAAACGACTCTGTGAAGAGATGAACAAGGAGGAGCAAAAGAGACGAATAGAAAGAGACTTCCAGACGGAGCTGAAGAAGATAATGGAGGCAGAGAAGGTGAGTCAGTCTGGACTTCCTTTACTCAACGGGATTACTTGTCATAGTCGTTCATTAATATAACAGATATCGGTCTCATATACGTCTCACTGAAAAAGGGAAAGTAGATCCTGTTACGTCAGATATGTCTGATACGATATGTATTATACTGATAAGTGAAGCAGCACCCTGAAGAACTGCTGCCTAACTACAGTGCTAGAGAGCATCCATCGAAACAAACGTGCCCTCTGGGACTTCAGGAAAGACAACAAGATAGAAAGTGTGAAATGTCACAATGGAAACCATCATTATGTTTCTTTCTTTCTCACTGTGTCCAGCTCCAACAGAAGGAACTTGAGTTGATGGGGAAGAGAGCTCAGGATAAACTAGAACAGGAGCTTCTGCTTCAGCAGGTATGCCTGAATCTTCTTGTTGCCGTTTTCTCCGGATGTTCAACCTGCAGAGACACACACAGACAGACAACATGCACTCTTTTGGAGATATTTAAGGGTTACTGACCTCAAATACCAGATTATTATAATCTACACTTAGACGTCATAGTTCCATATTATTAGGTGTTTAGGCTTTGGGCTGTTTGCTTTATGTGTGTTAAATGTTTCTTATGGAATGGGATTACGTGCTCTGTTATAACTCTGGTGGCTATCTTTACCATTTAGGAACTGATCAGCAATTTACAGAGACAAGTGGAGGAAGAGAGGAGGATGAGGGAAGAGGAGCAGAAGAGGAGGAAGGATGAGGAGGACAAGACGACGAGAGAAGAGGAGAAAATCAAGATGGAGGCAGAGAGGAAAATAATGGAGGAAGAGATGAGTAGGAAGAAAGAGGAAGAGAGGAAAATAGAGGAGATGAAACTTAAAAAAGAGGAGGAGAGGAAATGCGAGGAGGAGGAAAAGAGGAGAGTGGAGAGGGAGGAAAAGATGAAGAGAGAAGAGGAAGAAAAACACATAGAGATGGAAAAGAAGAAGCTGGAGGATAAGATGAGAATGATGAAGGAGGAAGAAGAGAGGAAAAAGAAGCAAGAGGAGAAGAGGAAAAGGGAGGAGGAAAGAAAAAAGATAGAAGAAGAGGCAAAGAAGAAGGTGGAGAAAGAAAAGAGAAAAATGGAGGAAGATATAAGAGAGAAGGAGGATGAGAAAAAAAAGAGGGAAGAGGAAAATATGAGAATAGAGGAAGAGGTGAGAATTACTAAAGATATGGAGATGAGGAAGAAGCAGGAGGAGATGAGGAAAAAGAAAGAAGAGGAGGAGGCTCTGAAAAAGATGCATGAAGAGATGAGGAAGAGGGATGAAAAACAACATGGAAATATAGATGAAGAAGTAAAACTTAAGGAGAGCAGAAAAAAGGAAGAAAGGGATAGGAAAAGGAGGGAGGAGGAGGAAGCAAGAAAGAGGGAGAAGGAAACAAAAGCCAGGAAGGAGAAGAAGGAGTTGACAGAAGTGATGATAAAAAAGGAAGGGGAAGATAGAACAACTAAAGAAGAACCAAGACCCATCGAGGAGGACGAGAAGAGCAAAAGGGAAGATGAAAGGAAAATAAAAGAGGAAGAACAGAGGAGGAGGCTGAAGGAAGATTTAAGACAGGAGGAGGAAGAGGGTTACCAAAAATTAGAGGAAGAAATAAAGCTCAAGGAAGATGAGAGAAAACATGTAGAGGCAGAGAAGGAGCTGAAGGAGGAAGAGGTGGGAGAAAACAAGAAAGAGGTTAACAGAAACACAGAAGAAGAAATCAGACTCAAAGAGAAGAAGGAGAGCAAACAGAGAGTGATAGAGGAGGGAAGAAGAGCAAATGAGCCGCAAGAGAAAATAGAAAATAACAGGACTTCCTCAAGAACTGGTCCTTTACACAGCGAGTCTACAATCAGTCGCACCAGTACTGAAGTCAAACCACAACAGCATGACCCGGAAGAGAACATCAGTCGGATCTCCGTGGCTAAAACCGTGGACTACGAGGATCAAGCAGCAAGGCCTGCATCTGTTCTCTCCTCCGTGTGCCTCTCAGAGCACACGGAGGGGAAGAGGCTGGCCTGGATGAAGGACTGCGTGCCCTGGTCCAAACTCTCCCTCCAGAACAGGAGCAAGCAGAGAGGATCTGCCCGCAGTCGGAGAGGGCCGAGGGGGGCTGCCAGGTCCAGCGGTCTGCCCCCTCTCTGCCCGGACTCCCTGCTTCAGTCCACAGGCTGGAAATCCCTGCAAGAGGTGAGATTTGTGCGAATGCTCAGACATGATGCAGACATTTATGAAGGGTGGAGTCGTTTGAACGCTGACAGGTAAGTCTGAGGGGTTCTCATGCTGAAAAAAGTAGTTTTTCTCAGAACTGTGGAAAACTCTCTGAAACAGCACGGAAGCATTTAAACTGTCCTTTGAAACTCCTGCTTTAGTTCACCCACCGGAGCCATCTAATAGCACAAATGCAAGATTTCACTTCACTCTGTTGAAGAGGATGCTCCGTATTATCAGTAAACCTTTTCTGACTAATCCATATTTGATACTATAATGACATATCCCCCGTGTCATGTCACACATGGCAACGTAGCGTCATAGACCTCTGAGCCCTGAAGCATCTCCGCCTCTCTTCCAGGTGACCACAGTGACCCTGGAGGACTTGCCCGGCCGTGGCTTATCCACTCTTGCTCAGTGTACCCAACTCCGGTCCCTCACCCTCAGACGCTGTGGCCTCAAATCCCTGGAAGGTATCAACCGGTTACCACAGCTCTGCTACATCGATGTGCAGGTGGATATGAAGTCGATGTAAAATCAGTTTATTGTCTTAATGCCACATTAAGTCTATTTTGTGCTGTTGGATTTTGCAGATCTTGGTTATTATATTATAATATATTTTTATTCTGAAAGTAAAGACCAATACAGCCATATTGTGTCGCGTCCTAACGTCTTAATTTGTTCTTCCACAGGAAAATGACATCTCATTTGTCGACTGTGAGAATATGAGCGGCTTACGGGTTCTTCATCTCGGCCACAACAAGCTGACGTCCATCCACGGTTTAACCGGCGCCGAAAATGTGGACGTTCTGGACCTCTCGCACAACTCCATCACCCGCATTGGTGAGAACTGGAAAAAGTCCTCAAACACCTTCGGAAACATTAACTTTGATGTTTAAAATATTTGTCTTCAAATATAAAATAACAGAAAACAGATTGTTGTCATGATAATGGGATTGTGTCACATCTGCAAGTTGTTAATACTCCACCAGAGGGCAGCATCTCTCTTCTTTTCAGCCTCCGTTCTCTTGACTACAATATCCAGTGAAAAGTGATTCATTGACTGAAGTCAAGCTGAAGCCATAAATAGATATTGGCTAGGCAAGAGGTTAATCGCATTGAATTGTATATTCAGCTACCGTAACATTTAGTTGTGGCTCACCTTTAAAACTCAATATTGTAGTTTTCTTTAGACATGCTTAAGCTTTATTTACAGCTCATGTGCAGACTCTCCCTGTGTTGTTTCGCAGTCTGGATAAGTACCCTCTCATTTCTTTTAACTCATCCATAGCTGATCTGAAGTCCATGAGGAGACTGCAGAGGTTGTCAGTGGACCACAACCAGCTGATCAGCACCAAAGGACTGAGGGACGTCTACACTCTCCTGCACCTGAGCTGCTCGCACAACCACCTGGCGAGCGTGGAGGGTCTGGAGAACAGCTCTCTGCTCAACACGCTGGATCTGAGAGCCAACAGCCTCACCGAGGTAAGAACACCGACGACAGCTGATCGCCGAAAAGCACCGGTTCTGATGTCAGTGCTCCGTATTCTCAGTGAGATTCGTATGGAAACTGTTGACGGAGAGCGAGAGGCTTGTAATTCAACAGGTTGCAGCCAATTCTGAAAAAAACAGTTCGTTCATATGCAGAAAACAAAAGATCTAAAACTTTTGTTTTCTACATACAACCTTTCTCATCAAGATGCAGAAACAAAATTATAATGCAACATTCTATTTATTGGTTTTATAATCACAAAACCACAATGTCATTTCCAACAGGGAGAGGTGTGATTAAAAAGAAAACATCTGTTGTGAGTCAAACCATGAAAATAAACACTTTTGAGCAGTTTAAAAAAAAATCATTTGTATCACACCTTTCACTGTCAGAAATGTTATTTATTATGTATGTATATATATATATATATATATATATATATATATACATATATATATATATATATATATATATATATATATATAAAAAAATTCCCTTTTTTGCTTTATAATCACTAACCCAAAATTAAAATGCTGACAGGGATTGGTGAGATTAAAAAATAATAAGAAAAAATGTTCAGTGCGTCAAACCTTCAAAATAAAAGCTCAAAAGTGTTACTCGAACAACTGGAACAGCTGCTTTTTGAGAAAACACATTGCACCACGTTTCCCTGTGACTTAAAATCAGCCTTTTAATGAACAAAGTTTACTCCACCTGTGGAAAAATAACAAAAACACAATCTAAAATTCAAGAAGAAATATAAAATCTGTCACATAACATGATTTGACAGGTTTTAAATGGAGGGATAAAATAAAGAAACATCTCCCCACTAGTGCCCCCATCAACCAAAAACAGGATGTGATGTAACAAACTCAATGTGATCTGAGAGTGATGAAGCTTCAGTGTAATATGGTACATTCCTTTTTCCAACATAAGATACTCTAACAGCAAATTTGCAAGTTGAATAAAGATGAACTTTGACCTGAAAGTCTCAGCAACATAAAACTGAAAACATAAAGTATTTGTTGGACAGGCTTCATTTCGCACCATACCAGGGCCCTGTCCCTGGCACACTTTCAATGAAAGGCACTAATTGATGTTATTAGTTACATTACAGCTACTTTAGTTAAAATGTCCTCCATGAGAATGCTCTGTAAGCGACAGTTGGAGAGAATGTCCAACTGCTGATGCCTCTCTTTCTCTTTCTTTGGGAGAGTAACTCGCTGCTAATTGATTGATGAGTCAAAGTCAAGAAAAAGAAAACATGCAAAATAGTTAGCATGATAATGTTTAAGTATTTCACGAGGCACCCCTTGATCGCAGCGGGGCTTAACACGCGGCCGACACTAATGGCCGTAAACACAGCAGGACTAAAACAGCTGACGTTGATGGATAGGGTCATTTTGCCGTCGCTGGACCAGCAGCAGCAGCAGAAAGTTAGTGTAACCCCACAGTGTGGCCACTGTTAACTGACAACTTCACCCTGTTTCTTTACCCATCAGCCCCCCAGTCTGAACAACCAGGTCCTCCTCAGAGAGCTGCATCTAGACGACAACAGCATCTCCTCCCTGCAGGGCCTCGCTGCCTGCTGGCTCCCCCTCATGCAACATCTGTCTGTGGCCCAGAACAGGTTTATTCCTCCAGTCGTTTCTTTCATTTTATTGATTTCTTTTTATTTCATACCATATCATAAACAGTAGAATATCCATCTTCCTTTCCCTCCCTCCCTCCCCTACAC